CAGTAATTATAAAATTCCACTGAAACAGTATTTTTTTTCAGAAAGCATAGAAAGAAATAAAAACGGTTCCCATAAGGCCAATATTATTTTGATTAGTATATCTAGGTGTTTTCGGCCATTTTCCAACAATTCCCGATAATTTCAGAAGATTTCCGAAGACTACGCAAGATTGCCGAAGACGGTAGATGTCCGGAGACTGCCACAGCCCCTTTGAGGTTTTTTTACCGGTGTGGGTAAAAGGAGGAAAGAGTTTGCGGAATGGCATGTGGCATGGCTTGCGGAATGACATAATTATGCGGAATTTAATATACGCAGTTGAATGATCCAAAGACTATAAATTAAACTGAAAAGAGCCCCCTTTATTGGCGCCAATCAATTTGCAAACGCAGCCGCTGTTTTAATGTTGCGGGCTTAACATACGATGACAATCAAAAAACCACGAAGGCTCATTGTCGACCAGCCTTTTCCGCACAGCCAAAAAGATTCTTCGTCTATTGAAGAAAAGATGTTTTCGAAGGTCACGCTCCCTTCTACTTTAATTTTTTCTGCAAAAGATGTTTGTACGATTAACTTAACAGTTCCTTGGTTACCTATATTTGTATTCGAAACCGTGTGAGAAGTGTTTCTTTCGTGATCCTGACATAATTGATATAAATCGAATCTTGTATTTTGTTTCCTCGGTTGCGAGCTGGCTATCTTTAAAACAAGGAACGGGGAATGGGGAATGGGAACGGGGAACGGCGAACGGGGAACGGGGAATCTTTAAAATAAGGAATCTTTCAAAACGGGAATCTTTAGAATGGGGAATCTGTAAAAACGGGAATCTTTAAAATGGAGAATCTTAAAAAGCGGGAATCTTTAAAACGGGGAGTCTTTAAAAACGGGAATCTTTAAAAGCGGGAATCTTTAAAATAAGGAATCTTTAAAAACGGGAATCTTTTAAAACGGGGAATCTTTAACAGCGGGAATCTTTAAAACGGCGAATCTTTAAAAGCGAGAATCTTTAAAACGGGGAATCTTTAAAAGCGGGAATTTTTAAAAGGGGGAATCTTTAAAAACGGGAATCTTTAAAATGGGGAATCTTTAAAACGGGGAATCTTTAAAAGAGGGAATTTTTAAAACGGGGAATCTTTAAAACGGGGAATCTTCTTTAAGATGGGGAATCTTTAAAAACGGGAATCTTTAAAATGGGGAATCTTTAAAACGGGGAATCTTTAAAAAGCGGGAATCTTTAAAACGGGGAATCTTTAAAAGTGGGAATCTTTAAAACGGGGAATCTCTAAAAGCGGGAATTTTGAAAACGGGGAATCTTTAAAAGCGGGAATTTTTAAAACGGGGAATATTTACAAGCGGGAATCTTTAAATTTTTAGAGCAAAAGGACACTGTTTGTTAAGTTGGACTAATGTCGGCTTTATTAATCATTCGAAGCACACTTAGCACATTTTCTTTGAATTTGAGAAAACCAGTTTTATGGTGGTAAAAGTGTTGACAAGCCTACACGACTCCTGCAGTTCGCGGATGAATAAATTCTACTAAAGCCTTCATAGCTTAGCTTTAACTACGATGTCCTTTAGGGATTTTGGCTTACGATATGAGATGATGGGGGGCTCCTTAAAGATTTCTCTGATCAGTTGCGGTTGATTTTCTATAAGGTGCCATTTCCCCATGAGTGTGTCCTTTAGGTTAGGCAACGCCGGATGGTATTGTGTTGCAAAGGGCAGTATTTTCTTTGGTGCGGTTTTGTTTTTCTGCGCTAGCGACATTTCTCTATCAGAGAATTTAATCTCTGAGAGGTGTTTTTCTACAATTCTAGCTGGGTAATCTCTATTCTGCAGGCGAGTTTTTTAAATTACTCATGTTTTCCTCAAAAGTAAATTGAGAGGAATTTGTTCTCAGAAGCCTTAACGCTTCTCCTTTTGTAAAGCCTTTCGTGACGCCTGGTGGGTGACACGAATAGAAATTCGTGTATTGAAAGGTTTCTGTAGATTCCTTATTGAATCTGTCACCTTTGAACACTTTCGTGTCTAAGAATGTGGTTTCTGTTTCTGAGATTTCAGCGGTGAATTTGATCGTTAAGTGAAAACTGTTTGCCTTTATAAGGAAATCCTCTATTTTGTCTCTGCTTGTGTTCCACATAGATATCACGTCATCTATGAATCTTTTCCAAAAAGTTGGTTTTGTGGTGCTTTGTCTGAGTATTTCTTTTTCTATTTTGGCCATAAATATGTTAGCAAAAGCTACGGCCATTTTCGTCCCCATGGCTGTTCCATGAGTTTGGGGGTAATCTTTTCCATTAAATTGGAACGAGTTTTCTTGTAGAATCACCAGCCGAGAGGCATCTCCCGGTGTTCTTCTCCCAGCTGCTTTAATAGGAGGGCAAATCGTATAACCGTTGCCTTGAATAACCGGTGCCTAAGCTTGACCAAACCTATAGTTAGGTTGAGTACCCCCTCCCCCCGGAAAAAAGGCGTGGCCAACGGGGAGACGGAACTATGTGAAAATTGCTCCACAATGTTTGAGCATTTGTACGGCTCTATAGGAACCGAGGTCACCGAAGACTTGACCGCGAGGGCGCTGAATCGAGTCCCTGTTTATGACATGAAGTATAAAGACCCTCTATAAAGCACACCCTGTTTTTTTTTTAAAAGCGAGAATCTTTACCTGATCGGAGTTGTATAGTTTTGTTTCCCAGCAAGGGACAGCAGCGGGCCACTGATATGTACAGATCACTCCTTGTAACAACTCCGGGGGAAGGGGTACTCTCATGTATGGACTATACGGGGATATGCCACCCGATAGGGTCTACTCTTTCAACAAAAATTCATAAACAGGGTATGGGTTTTTAACAGAACAATCAGAAACAAGGTATACTTTTCGCCCCTGTACCTGTCATAGACAGAAATCCATAATAATTCAGGCCGCAGTTCTCTGCTTCTGGTATCAGAAATAATTTTGGTTTTGTTATAGCGCAGTCAGGAACAAGTGTCAACAAAATTTGTCATAAACAGGGTGTGCTTTATAGAGGGTCTTTATACGTCATGTCATAAACAGGGTATTAAAAAACCCAATTTTTTGTGCCTGATACTGTTATATACAAGAAAACGCTAGTAGGATACTGTTTTATGCTAGAAAACGCTATTACGATACTGTTACATGCTAGAAAACGCTAGTACGATACTGTTATATGCTAGAAAAACGTAATCGTATTCACTGTCCACTGCAGCATTGTTGGCTCCCTATAGGAACCGAGGTCTCCGAAGACTTGACCGCGAGTGCGTGAATCAAGTGTCGATTTCTCAACAATGCTGCAGTGGACAGTGAATACGATTGGCACAATCTGTGGCTGGGAGATGCCTCTTTTGAACGATCTAAAAGGCGTGGCCAACGGGGAGACGGAATTATGTGAAAATTGCGCGATAATTACCGAGCATTTGTACGGCTCTATAGGAACCGAGGTCTCCGAAGACTTGACCAAGAGGGCGCTGAATCGAGTGAATACGATTGGCGCAATCTGTGGCTGGGAAATGTTTTCTAATGTCTTCTCCCACGTTTTTAAGTGCCTTAATGGTTTAGCTGCTAGTTATATAACTGAGTTGAATGTTGTTAGTGACGAAGCGTAAATGCTACACGCGCAAGGTTTGGGATTTTTCTAGAGTCAAGTCTTTAAATATTATGCAAAATTCAAGTCCCTTTTTCCAAAGTGATCAGGTTAGAACTAATTGTAAACTTCTCTTGCCTTTCTGTTTGGAATAATCTGCGTGAAAATTTAAAAAGTTGTTTTTTTGCATTAAAACAAACGATAAAGGAAATTTTTTTTATCCTCTTATATTTCATGCTGTTTGCCCTTGGCTCACTAATGCAATAATTAATTTCAACTTTATAATTATCTGGTACTGTTTTGTTATATTCACTGACTCAAATGCATGGTACATGGAATGCATCATCGGTATCCCCGTAGTAATACCCCGGTTGGGGTTGAAAACGCTAGTACGATACTGAATCGCCGCTGAATCGAGTCCCTGTTTATGACATAAAGTATAAAGACCCTCTATAAAGCACACCCTGTTTTTTCTTTAAAAGCGGGAATCTTTAACTGATCGGAGTTGTATAGTTTTGTTTCCCAGCAATTTAAGCAATGGTGGTGTTCTTAACAAGCTTTTTATACACTCTTCTCCCTGAAAGAGACTATCGTACTAGCGTTTTCTAGCATATAACGTTATAATTTTTATTATACCTAGTAGGATACTGTTCAGTATATGCTAGAAAACGCTAGTAGGGTACTGTTTAATGCTAGAAAACGCTGGTAGGATTAGATCGTGACCGAGAGGCATCTCCCAGGCGCCAATCGTATTCACTGTCCACTGCAGCATTGTTGAGAAATCGACACTCGATTCAGCACCCTCGTGGTCAAGTCTTCGGAGACCTCGGTTCTTAAACACACTGCTAATACTAAGAGTTGCGTTCATTATTTTTTACTGGTACAGAGTCGGTACAAGTTGTGGCGCTTCCACACCCCCCGCCATCCTCACTCACCTACGGGAGCAATACGCTTTGTTATACTCAGATTCAATGTGTTGCGCATGTGCGTGACTATTGTCTGATGAGCGCGAACTTGTGAATTTGTTAGCTCGTGGAGCGAATATAATAGCATTTGGCATTTGTAAAGAATGTTTTATAGGTTAGAGAGGCTGTATAAGAGTTTCAAAGATGGAAGCAACCTTGTTCCCAGGGTTCTCTCTTTATCGAGGAAAGAGGGAGAACCCTGGGAATCAGGGTGAGATGAAAGGTGAGCCTACAAAAATACTGGATCGAGCCACCTTCGCTTAGCAAACAAAGGGCCAGGTTAGTTCTAAAAATAGTTTAACTTAGGCTTTAATATTTCTATGAATTCATTGGATCTTAAATGATGACCAAAGTAAACTGTAAAGCTGTAATAACACCAAAACAAGTTGTTTATTCATGAACACATTTTATTGCACTCTTCGGTCTTGATTTCACTTTAACGGTTAGACTTAGCAACACGTTCCAACTCATCTTTCTTCTTGATGGCATAGGAATTTGATGATCCCTGAAAAAAGCACACCAGTCATAGAAATAAGAGGGGAGACAAACCAAATCAGTTGTTCTTGATTTCTGATTTCCAGCAATAAACTATTCAGTTCACCTGAATATAAAATTAAGATCTTATCCACACTGTTAATAAACACCTTAACCTAGAATTGACAACAATTTTTTCTCACGTTTCGTGGATTTCGAGAAACGAGCTTGGCAATTGGCGTAATTTTTCGGCTTTCGCCACACGCAAATTCAAGGTATTTGGCAGTTTGACAGTTGAGTGCTCTAACATGTTTCTTTTGAAGTGTTTCCCAAAACGAGAGTCATTTTATTTACTTATGAACGATGATTTACTAGGCAACGTTTGAGGGCAAACTATTATTCGACCCTGAATGCACTGGACCGATTTTACAGACCCTGTCTCTTAACACCGAAGGTACAGAGGAGAAGAGATTGTAAAAACATATCAAATGGGCATAGTTACTAAAACAAGGAATGACCTACAATGACCTACAATGATCTACAATGACCTACAATGAGCTATGACCGAACGTGTAATCCCTGTAATGAGCTGAAATGAAGATTTTAGAAAAAGACAAAAAAAAAAAGATCAAGGGACGTGTGTCGTAGTTACTAAAACAAGGAATAGCCTACAATGGCCTACAATGATCTACGATGAGCTACTACGAGCTACAATGAGCTGCTACGAGCTAAAATGAGTTAAAATAAGCCCTACAATGAGCTATAAAATGACAGACAATGATATTTGTCGTGTGTCACGCTTGGACATGACACTAGGCTTGTAGTATTAAATTGCCAAGCACATTTTGAAAGACAAAACACAAATTGTGCCTGATCTCAGGTAACTTGAGAAAGTTGAAAATAGATTATTGCAATTGCGTTTTTACTGGTATAGCACTATTATACCCTGTATTGACGGAAGTCATGCAGGCACTCCCTTATTTGACCTAGATGGGTATGTGCTGCTGAGCAGGATATGGATTTTACTATTAATTTTAGTGTTACAAAGAGAGCATCCTGTAGAACCGAAAGCCATTTAAAGGGTCTTATGATGTCTTATACAGGCCAGGGTACTCTAAAAAAATGAACAATTTTCTTTTGAACAGGGTCAGAATTTGAAGGCCTCCTTTGTTCATCTCTACCCTTACGCCCCCTGAAGATCCCCCAGGATCGACTGTTGGGGTGACTGTGTTTGTTCAATTTGTTTGAAAAAAAGACAAGACAAAATAAAACTAATGTGAAAGGTTGCAAGGGATGGTTTGGACAAAAGTCACAGTATCATCATACACGTATTATTACACTGTAAATTTATCTCCAAGCGTAATAATTAGAGATACTGTCATCATTAAATGGGCTGTCATGCAGTAGACTAAACGCGTTACGTTTACGCACAGATGTCCCCTGATATTTTTTTTTTGTCTTTTTCTAAAATCTTCATCTTAGCTCTTTACAGGGATTACACGTTCAGTCATAGTAGCTCATTGTAGGTCATTGTAGATCATTGTAGATTATTGTAGGTCATTGTAGATCATTGTAGGTCATTGTAGGTCATTGTAGATCATTGTAGGTCATTGTAGATCATTGTAGGTCATTGTTAGTCATTCCTTGTTTTAGTAACTACGATCAAATGGGGAGGGACTAGAGCCTTATAAAACTGTAGAATACAGCATCTAAAAGTTGGGCTAAAAGTAATATGTACACTGACACTATCAGGTGTGTTTGTGTTCACTTAGTTCAGTTTCCTCACCAAACCTTTTTCAAATCTAACAATCCTGCAAAACACATTAGGGAAAAAAACCTTCTCTTCACCTTTGAGGAAATAAGGAATGGTTACTGCTATCTACCATATTTAGTGTCTGTAAATAGAACCTTTAAGAAGGGATAGACTCTTGCTTTCAGGCCAGGAGATTCTAGGGGTTTCATTGAGTCCAACAGCATAATAAAAAGCACATCAGTTTGAGGGAAACTACGTTAACAGAGAGACTTAATAATTCACAACATAGCAAAAATGAAAAAGCTTCCTTTCTAAAACTATACAAACCTTAGCAGCATTGATAAGTTCATCAGCAAGGCATTCAGCAATTGACTTGATGTTCCTGAAGGCTGATTCCCGAGCCCCAGTACAGAGCAGCCAAATAGCCTGATTCACTCGCCTCAGAGGGGACACATCAACGGCTTGACGACGGACAGTACCTGCACGACCAATACGGGTGGAGTCTTCACGTGGTCCACTGTTAATGATGGCATTTACCAACACTTGCAGGGGATTCTTAAGAATAAAGTACAATCAAGAAATATCAGTACCATCAATTTCTGTAATGACAAGTAATATAATAATTTGGGAACAAACTAAACTACTCAGTTATTCATTTTGAAGATGATCTATTCATTGACTTTGTTATGATTAAGATTGAATCTACTTGAATCTCTTTACAGAGTATTCAAATTTTGCTTGATATGCACCAGGGAAATCTTGTCATTTTCTGTTTCCAGGGTTTGTGAGTGATATGTAGTATACATCTGTATGTACGATTCACAGCGCCTTAGGATATAAAATATCAATTTCAGCTACACTTAAGTTCCCACAGAATGAATATTGTATAATAGCTATCACCTTTAAGTCCAACAGCCCAGACACTTACAGGGCATGCCAAAACCTATGTCTGATTGTCCAGGACAGGCAGAAATTAAAATTTATCTTATACTTATAAAAGCAAGCCTCATACTTGAAAAAAGGTTAAATATTCCTTTTAACTTTTCCACTGTGCGGCCATTTCATTTGTTTTTACGATCTCCATTTCAGGCTCAAGTCAAGAACAATAATATTTACAAGGATAATAACGTGATTAAAAACATTAAATGCCCAATTGTTTTGAGTTTTGAGCAAAACTTTTTGGACAATTGGATAACCAAATTTAATATAGTGCTTGTTTGAAGGGCAAGTGGATAAGAAAATTTTTCTTTTACTCTGACTTACCTCTCCAGTTAGCAGATGAATGATCTCAAATGCATGCTTCACAATTGTGACAGTCATGAGTTTCTTGCCATTGTTACGTCCATGCATCATCATGGAGTTCACCAGACGCTCCACAATAGGGCACTAAACATGATACCATAACAACAACAACTTTTAAAATAGACACAAGGGACAAGATGACAGTACAACATAACTTGCTTGATGGGAAAGTGAATCTTTTTGGGGAATCTAAATTACAGAAGAACTGTAATCAATCCTATTCATCAAACATTTTTTTCTGGCTACTTAAAATGACTTTTGGAAATGACTTTTGGGCTAGTAAATGCTTGCTACAGCTTGCCCGAATGGCAAGCTGCGACTTTCTGTTTACTGCATGCATCTCCCACCCTTCCCCCAATTCAAGTAATGGTCCAGATAAGAGAGGATTTTATTTCATAAACTGCCTTTATGCAGTTTCTGCATTCTTTGTTTGAAAATGAAAAAAAGTTCTATGTGAGGAAAGCATATTGTGCCATAACAAAAGAAATTGCTTCCTGTCTTAACCAGATCATTAATTAAACACTATTTTGTCGATCAGCATCACATTTTGCTTAGTCGTAGATCAACGCTCAATTACTAAATCTGCCAATAGGCCATTTACACAATGGCATCATTTAACTACTTCAACCATAATCCTTCAGGGTTTTGCTTCCTTGTGCAAATTACAGTCAACTCTCACCTTACGGACACCCCGCTATAACGGACACCCCTATAATACGGACAGCAGATAAATTCCGGGCAAAAGTAAATAATATACAGACATTTGACTGCAATAAACTCCGGCTATTACGGACTCTCGCTACAGAGGACACTAACTTAAGGTCCCTTAAGTGTCCGCTATAAAGGGACTTGACTGTAAGGCTTTTGTTATTTCAACCTCACTGGGATTACCAAATTAAAAAAGGAAAGGAAAAACCAAATGCATTCTGGTCTTAATATTCAAAAGATGTCATCATGCAAATGCCCTATTATATAAATAACTGATTCAGTATAATTATGAGAATTTAGGATAAAATCATCCAAAATAAGGTATCTTTTCATCTTAACAACATTGCCCAACTAAACAAAAAGTATATGTAAAGGACTGAGTTGTAATGGAATATTGGAGAGACTACCTACTACTGTAAACCAATATCCATGGTAGGAGAGTTGATGTAGTGAAGAGAGCCGTTTATCAAATGATAACCAACCCATGCAGAATTCCAGCTATTTCCTATCATTTACCTGTGCCTTCCTAAACCGTTTTGCAGCATAACGACCCGCAGTGTGGGGTAGATAAGTGGCGTACTTCTCTTTAACTGCAATGTAGTCCTGTAAATTATAAAACATGTCAAAAGCTACAGAAGAAACTAAGATAGACACCTAAAGTACATTCTTTTCAAAAATTTAAACTAAACAGACCTCCGGATGGGCTTTCCATACAGAGCCACAAGAGAAAGGTTATAGTAATGATGAGGGCACTTACAGTTAAGCTGATGTCACTGACTTGAACATCATCTGTGCTCCATTTTCCAAATAGTTTAATATCCTGAACTTCAGGTGCAACTACAACAGGTGCAGCATCATCAACGGCTCCCCAATCCTCAGCCATGATGGCACTACACAAGATCAAACCAACAAAAAAAATGTTACTAACTCGCTTGGACTATCATGATTATGATATCTTTTATGATATCTGGTTCCTTCCCTGTGTGGATTAGGGGGAGGAAGTCATCTTACAGGCACTCATGTCTCCAAAAGCTATAAAAACTCGTAACCAGGATTCCTTTAGAAGCACCTTGCACCATAATTAACGACGGTTAGAAGGGAACAACTACTTCTGGGATAGACAAAAAGATCTCATTTTACACACATGTACAGGTATACTATGACTATTCAGAATGACTTTCAGACTTGCCTGCATGCAGACGTCTCCTATTTGCTTTGTTGAACGCGGAAAAGGAACGTCTGCGTAACGCTGTCCCTTATCATGTTCCAGCGTCCCCCTAGGTTCCCAAGATCTTGGGAACACACTGTGATAGGCTGACACACAGGGCACATTGTTTGACTTAACCCTGATTAGTTGTTATCGAATCTGGTCTGATAATGTAGGCGGTCATTTATGTAAACGGGGTTTACCAGCCAAAACAAATCAAAATACATGCCATTGTGTGAAGACCGTTCGAAATCTTGTGCGAGGCCGCAGAAAATTGAACATGCATGAGGAAATTACAATGTATTCCTTTAAAATTTACTGTGCATGACACATCACATCATTATTTGTAAACAGTGTTTGAGAAAACTACAGAAGCGATGTGGACTTTGCACCAGCTTACGAGAGCTCGACGAAGAAATTTTTCAAAGCTACAGTTCCAAAGCCTATAAGGCAGGGCTTTCTATCAAGAAAAAGGCCGTACAGCTACATGATTTAACTGCGGAAGAGTCTGTTTCTCCTGAGAAGAGAATTCTCTCAGAGGAATCATCAGATTATTATTCCGACGTTCAGGGCTCGATTCATTTTTCAATGCCTGTGAAAAACCGGCATTAAGCTACAGTGTAAAACTCAAAACTGAAGATTGCACTATCCGTGAAAATTCAACATCCTGAAAACTGGGCCCAGAGTCATACTTACATAGCAGGAAATAATGACATTCATGGACAGAGAAACTTGCATGCATGCATGTAGTTATTCCGATCCAGGCATTTCGGAGAAAGCCAGCCAAAGAAGTGAAAATCTTTATTTAGCAGTAACAAACAGAGGTCAAAGAAAATTAATACACTTTAAAACTGCATCTGAAATCAAATCCTATCAGGAACAGCCACAGAAGCATAAACCACAGGAAATAATTACTTAGTATGCATGTAACAAACCTGCTTTATGACCTCTAAAATAATGTAAGACTTAGTGCGGCAAAAACAAGATTTACTCAGTCAAAGTTTAGAATGCTACATGCACTGTGTAGTGCTAGTAACCTTCACGCGATAGAGAAAAGAAGAAAAACCTCTGTTCAAGCAGACTCTCAAGGTCATGTTCCACATTATCACGATCTAGCTTATGAGTCGTGTTTGGCCTGTCAACTCTTTTTAACTGGATATTATTTCATAATTTATGCAAAATAGAATACCCTGCCAGCGGGGTACTGGAACATGATTAGCGACGGCGTTACGCAGACATCCCTTTTCCGCGTGCAACAAAGAAAATAGGAGACGTCTGCACACAGGCAACTTTCAGACAAATAATGGGAAAACTGTAACATGCAGATGAGTCAATTTAGATTGTGCGATATCACAAGTTGAAAAGTCAAATGATTATCACTGTTACCAATCAGTCAATTTACATGACCTAGTGCTGGGGACTGACATATTGACACCCACTTTAAAATTGCTCCTACAGTACCGAAAAGTCAAATAATTGTCACTCTTACCAATCAGTCAATAATATTAACACAACCATAGTGGGGTATTTTGGGGTATTTTTGCACGTATTTCATTACTGATGAAGACTATATTTTGCCACTTCAATCAAAAAAGTGAATTAAGATGGTCTAACCTCATTTAAGACTTAGTATAATGTCCTAAGCCATTACCGTGTAATAAATTAGGGACTGGATCGAATTGTGATTATGAGGGGGTCGGGGTTTGGCTGGGTTGTTGATATTCGGGGTGGGGGTAATGCAAAACAGAGAGTCTCCAGATTTTGGATTTCCAGGGGTTGGCATCTCTGTACTTAGCGATATATCGCTACGGGTGAGGCAAACGGTAAATACACTACATTTACTGTAAAATAACATCAGTTACACACACAGATTGTGTGGGCCCCCTGAGATGCCACACTTCTTAGATTTGAACACTTAGGTCTAGCTGACCTTTGGTGTTTGTATTAAGAACGTTACATTGTATTATCCAAGACAAATCAAATAATAATTATTTCAGCAGATAGCTGTGAGTCAAGGAGTAATCATGTCTTCCTTTTACAGACAACTTTTAAGACATTCAAGTGCTTATAGTCCTAATGTTGTAATGTTGTTACTAGTTAGTGATGTTGTTTTTAGTAATTCTAAGAAGAAAAATAACCTCTTATTTGAACCAAAAAGGGTAATTACAAAAACCGTGTGAATTTTGCAGTCTCCAGGCTTAAGTAGCTGATACCAACACAATTGTACAAATAACGTGGATTTAGACGAAATCTCAAACATTCCTTTAAAAGAAGGCATATGTTGTGTTCAATTTTTCTGCAAATAGACCGTCACAGAATTTAAAGTAGACGATGAAATCACGATTAAGATTAGAACAACTGAATGTTGAAACTACAAGACATTGCTAGTGAATGTCTAACAAACTCGTTTATTTTAGCATCTGGGAGTTATAAAGAATGGACTATGTTTCAATCACTAATAAAGACATTAGATTGCCTAAGGAAAGCAATCACAGGAAGCGCTCTACGCCAAAACTGTCCTTCACCAAAAAAATGGCCGCCATCTTACCTTGGGTAAACGAAGAGAAAGAACGACTAACTCGTTGGGCACGTGTTGTAAAAAGCCGGGGTGGACCCGAAGGTCGATACAAGCAAGGGCTCGAAGCGATAAAATATTGATTAGCTCGGATGAATATCGACTTAATACCAATGTTATATGAAATTGGGTGACCTGTGGTTGTTGGGCAGAAGGCGTCAACATAATAGTCACGTGATTACCCTGCGAATTTATTGTGCCCAAGAACGAGGAAAATTTGACGAGGTTTGCTCCATATTCGCGATGGTTTTCTTCGAAACTTGTGGTCCTAATGAAGCCATGGTGGTATCAGGTATTTCCCCCAATATCTTCGTGATCAATGTTACGTTTTCTTTTTTAAAATCCCTCAGCAATGAGTTTGAATTGGAATTGCATTTTCGCAGGTGTTTTTTGCTGTAGTTCGCTTGAATGATCTTCCGAAATCAGAATATCTCTGCTCTAAATTTCCTGTCTTCTTGATCTGTTTTGCAGGTGTATGCCACTCCAAGCCTGCTCTAGTTTCAGGTGGCCGTATATTTGTGTGGCCATGGATTCAAAAGCTGCAAAAGTGAGTCAAGGAAATTCATACAGTTTACGCACGCTATGTACCACAATAGAATTTTGCTGAGGTGGTCCGATCTTTGCAACGCTAAAAATGCAAACGTAATGACTGGACTCAAAGTTAACAAAATGAAAAATTTTGTCAAACAATTTCGTGTATTCGAAGTGGCAATTCTGAAAAATCTGCTTTCTAATAGTTTGTTGATTTGTGTGAGTATGTGACACCGATCACGGGTGTCATGGGAAATACATCTACATGGTATGAAGGTATGAACGCAATTTAACTTCCTAATGTTGGAATAGAAGAGAAAAACGTAATGAATTTATGACCCGTATTAGCGTTGTCTTTTCTATGTGTGGTTTAACTTATGTAGCTTATATTCAATCTCAAGAGAAGTTGACTTTAAACCGTAACATCACACACCCCTGGTTTGTTTTGATATAGGCCTACGTACGTTGAGTCTGAAAGTGCATCAAATATATTGAATAAAACATCGCTACTGGGATAACCCTGCAATGTACTTCAAAATGATTTGAAAGCTTTTATAGTCAAGATTACCTTTTATGAATAAATTGCAATGACTTAAGTAAATGTACAAATTATCAGTGAGTTAGCCCCTTCTTTCCTATTTGTAAAATATAATAGCCTAGTAATGGTTGTGTATTCATGAATAACCAAAAGTATAATGCAGGTTAACACTAGCAATCATTTGATCATCTCTACCTACACGTGAAAGTTTTCAAAATTCAGGCTTTTAATTTACGAGGCCTTGTCTGGGTAAAATTCCAACCAGCAACATGGCCTTGAAACAGCAACTCAAGACAAGATGAAACCACAACAAACGGCATGAAGATCGGTTAAATACCAACAGCAGCATGGCTTACTCCTTAAAACTTAAAAAGACCTTATTTGAAATTCAGACTTGGGACATACGTACCATCCCCCCCCCCTTCCCCAAGAGGGCCTCATTAATGCTTTCCCATGAATGCAAGCATTACGCTTTCGAATAGATGTACTTCTCTCGCCTTGCATCCAAGTTCAGCTTTTCAGAGAGTCTAGAACAGACCTGCAATAAGTTTATCTTTTGGTTTAGGGAGACTTTTTCACAAATCAAGTCGCCAGCTCCAAACTTTTAGGCGCCATGGCGACCAAAATGGTCGCAGCTTGGCGGGTTGGGGACAAACTTGATTTCTAATAGAGCTAACTAGTTAGGGGCTAACTTGCTATGGGGTGAAACCACTGGCTTCCAATACAAATTACATGGCTACAGTGAATAAAACATGTCTGCACAGCCATGTAATACCCTCTTTATGCAAAGTGCATATGTTGTAGGTAAAACAGATCTCAAGTTAAATGAGTATTTAAACTGTTTGTTTCAGAATCTCCTTTGTTTCATAATGCTAATTGTTCATAAGAGACAAAGGAAACTCTGGTTTAACCCCAGAACAGATTTTGCTCACAACACATACACCATACAGGACCACATCCAGCTGATGCAATTGTCAAACTAGTTTTGAAATGGTTAGAAGCCAGTTATTTTTAATCGATTTGTCCACTTTTCCAGACAGGAATGGACAGTTGTTATTACAGCTGGCTACTTTATGCACACATTTTGCGAAAAGTAGCCTCTTCATGGGGGTAATCCCTGAAAGGATCATTGATGCGTTCAGTATCAAGACTGTGTGAAACTATTGTTGCTTCAGTGGACATCTCTGCTCTTGATCAGTCTTTATACTGGATGTTTCACCTTATAATGTTATGTATGGTTTCTTTACAGAATATCACTGAACACTATGACCCTGAATGTGGAATCTCCTCGTGTATATACCCGCCATGGAGTGCCTATCTCTGTAACTGGAATAGCTCAGGTAAATACCTGTGAGCATATGTTGTTCTGTTGGCTCTTGGAGGGTCATGTTTTTGTACATGTATGTTAGGTTCAAGTCAAGAGGGTTTTGAGGTGTTGCCAGAAACCATTAGCTCTCTTCTAACTACTTTTGTACTTTTAAAAAAGGTATCCCCATTGTAACGATAGCGGTCCCAAACACTTATGAAGGACTAAGGCAATAGATTCAACCTTTTAATGGCCACCAAGAATACAACAACAACGAAGTACATGTTTTTCTGAGCACATGACCTAAGACCACAGGCATACCATGACAGTTGTCATTAATTTTAAAGAACTGAGGTTCAACAGTGACTAGTACAAAGTAGGTCAGGATGAAGAACAGGGGGATTAGAAAATACACAAAGCACAGAATAATATTATTCTCCTCTTGGACTGAAAGGCGAAAATCGAAAAAGCTCGTAATAAAACCTATTAGTACTTAATTTCACGGGTCTTAAATTTCGTGTTTTTTGTGATTGTAAAAAAATTGCAAAAATAAATCCTTGCAAAATTTAAGCATGCAAAATTAAAAGCTCATATAGAACATTCAAAGCACAGAAAAAATTAATTATTAGCTTGTAACAGCAACAACATACTTGTATGTATCAACAATATAGCTTGTTAACTAGTTTTACTGGTGAGCTTCGTTTTGTATCTTCAGTCAGAAGTGAAATAATGTTAATTTGTAAAGCTTTCCTACATTTCTTTTCCAGTTTTACTAGAAACTTGAAAACTTTCAGACTTTTTAAATAAGTGAAATAAAGTTGAGAACGCTTAAATCGTGAATTTAAATACCTTTTTTCATATTTGTGTGTGGAAATCACGAAAATAAAACCCCACAAAACACTCTCTCGCCAAAATCACGAAATTAAGTACCAACAAGGTAAATCACACATAGTGAACTTTTTCATTTTGCAGGTAAAAATTCAAGGCCAAAATCAGGAAATGTTGTATGCAGCCTGCCAACAGTTTCTAGGCAAATCACAGGAGGAAGTGCGTTCTGTTGCCTTGGAAACACTGGTGAGGTTCTAGTTAATTTCTATCACCCATTAAAGTTTAGATCAGATACTAGTTTGTTAGCAACCTTTATTGGGCTTCTTGACCACACTGTATATACAAATTTTTGTACAATACACCTTCCACATATCCCACAATCCTCTTTAATTTATCGTTTCTCAGAGTAAAATTTTTGAGAACACAAATACATAACATAAGACTGGAATACAGCTAGTGCTCAGGGGATGAACTGAACCCAGGTCTGTGGGTTAAAAGTCCTGCATTCTAACCTGCACCTGTATCAACTGTGCTGTCTTCTTATGACTAACAGGATAATTTACAGTATATTTAAGCAGGTTGAAGATTGTTTAGTTATGTGCATTCTTTTCAGGCCTGTTGATCATACCTTAACCTTTTTTTGACTCTGCAATTAATTTTAATGTTTACTGTTTTACAGGAGGGCCATCAGAGAGCCATCATGGGCACAATGACTGTTGAGGTAAATAAAAAGAATGCACTGCACTAGTAACTGTTGCATCTTGTTTGTCATTTTTTGTAAGTTTTTGTCATGACCGATGGTTTAAATTTGCAATTAAAACAGGAAATCTACAAAGATCGTAAGAAGTTTTCCAAGAGTGTATTTGAGGTAAAGTAATGCAAGTTCACGAATTTTTCTTTCATAGGCTTAAACTGGTTTCTAGAGTAATTTTAATGTGTATTTTTATTTCCTGCCCTTCTTGCTTTGTGTTCCTGTTGTTTTGTTAATGTTTTTAACTTTTTCATTTTATCTTGGTTTGAGCATTACTTAATACCATAACAATTAAGGAAGTATCAAGTTGTATGCAGTGTTCTCCTTATCAGGCGATAACCAGTAAAATTTACTGCCTGAAGCAACATTTCTTACCACCTGCAATGGCCTGAAGGTTTACTAAAATTAAAGAAGTACTTTTAAAAAATACACAAGTTGTGATCTGATCCGATTCTCACAGTCCACAAGGAAATCAATAAATATATAGAAAAGTACAGTAGAACCCCGTTAGCATGGTGACCAATGGTCAAACAAAATTGGCTGTATCAGCAAGGTGGCCATGTAACCGGAGCATTAACGGGTGACTGTATTAACAAGGATTTTTTATTATAAAATGAGTGGCCATTTTGCCGTATTACCGAGGTGGCCATAAGGCGGGGTTTCACTGTACTGAAATATACACAGCTTTTCTTTTTATGGGCCACGCATTTTGGAAAGAGAACATTGAAGACACAGTAAATTTATTGGAATCAATCGTTTTAAATTGTTGTTTAAAGGTAACAACGGCAAATTTGTGTAAAATGGGTCTTAAGTGAGGGAATGACATTTCAGAGAACTTAGCTCTTAAATTTCCCAGCAAGAGCGAGACCATGTCCTGCATTCCAATGCCCCCTTGCATGCCCCCAGGAAAGTGCACCTCTGGTGCATATTTTTGCCTTACGGGCTATGAATGGTCCCCTACCTGCTGAGCTAAAATTCAGGGAGAATGCTGTGTATAGATGAGATTCCCTGAGGTTATAGTTCACAAGCGCTATTGTTTGTTGAACCTTTCATTTCAGGTTTTGAGGATTGATTAAATCTATTTATGGCAAACATTTGTCGGTACTTGTACCTATTGGAAAAATGAACAGTCATTCTTGTCAGTCTTCATTCTTGTTAGCATTATTTTTTTACTACATGCAAATGTATATATGTTACTAAGCAACTATGTTTTGAATTTACTTTTTGTAGGTGGCATCATCTGACTTGGTTAACATGGGAGTCAGTGTTGTGAGCTACACAATAAAGGATATCAGAGATGATGAGGTAACTAACACGTGAAAAGATCAGTTAATTTCAAATCACCTATACCACAAACTACAACCACCACCACGATCGTCATCATCATCATCATCATCATCATCATCATCATCATCATCATCATCATTATCATTGTCATCATCATTTTTACTGTTTACTTTATACCTGGATCAATTTTAAATTGTGGTTGTTCATTGACATGGGCAGTGTATTGTAATGTAGTGTGTGCAGTGTTTCAAAGAAAAAGAGAAATAAAAATGGACCTCGTCTATAAACCCATGGAACCACGAAACCCAAGGAACCACAAAAATGTTAGTGGAAAGGGGGAATGGTGAAAAAGCTGCACAACTCCTCTGTGCTAGTAAACTTCAGCAACAGCTTGCCCAAACGGCAAGCAATTTCTTTAATGTTCATATCACCCTGTCCTGTTCCCTGCAAATTTTTAGCTTCTTAGTGGTACTTGTGTCTATATGTCTAGCATGTGTTTGGCTCCTTTTTTCAGGGCTATTTGCTTGCTCTTGGCATGGCCAGGACGGCACAGGTCAAAAGAGATGCCAGGATTGGTGAAGCAGAGGCTAAGAGAGATTCTGGAATCAAGGTAAAAGTTTATCATCAATATGGTGCACATGAACACATCTGTGTGTCAGATTTTTATATTGTATTGTATAATTATGCTGAGGTTGACCTTTTGTCTTGGTTTAAGTTAATTTTTATTTTTACAAGTTCATTTTGTGTGCCAGTGATGTTGTAATTGAAAATTTGACTTGTACATGCCCCTCCATTTCTCTTAGCAATATTTCAAGGGCTGTCCATTTAAAGCTCAAGTATTTGTAGTTTTATTACCAGTGTATGTAGTAATTTTGAGTATACATGTTTACTTGATGAAATCTGAATTATTTTATGCTATGTTAGGAAGCATTAGCAGAAGAAGCTCGCATGAAAGCTAAGTTTGAGAATGACACACTGATTGCCAAAGCCAAGAGAGACTATGAGTTAAAGAAGGCTGCATATGACATTGAAGTTCAGACCAAGGTACTATTCAAAAGTTTTCACAGGTAGCCTGTGAAAACAGCTATCTCTCTTCATTCATCCCCTTTAGGAACATTTCACCAAGAGGGACGTCTGCACCTCAGCAACAGAAATTCTATGCTGATGATGGAAAATCTTTCTGGTAACTGGTCAGGAGTTCTGATTGGTCAACGAAGTAGTTATATTGTTTTAGCCATTGTTTATTAATGACAGACAAAAGACAAATGTTCACAAAGGTCAAATGTTAATGCAATGAATCTGCTACAAAACTGTCAATATTCGTGGAATATATTTAACAAATAGATTCCATGTTGCCGTGCGTCTGTTCAGTAATAGATCACAGATGACGTCAAAATGTCGTAAAAACAAAGAAGTGGCACATGAGCCGCAGGCGAGTGTGTCACTGCTGTTTTTACCACATTTTGACATCCTCTGTGATCTATTACTGAACAGAACCACAGCAACATGGAATCTATTTGTTTTACACAATGATCAGAAAAGAAAAAGACCGATACACATATCTGCCTCAAACGGCTTGACCTTTTGAGGATTTGTGCTAGTTTAGGCATTTTTTAAGTCCCAAACCCAACTTTTCATTTTAGCTTCTTCTTTATCTTACTTGTATACAGTTTCTTCGAAAAGTTTTTCACCGTCTTTTCTTGCTCAAAGAAGAATAATAGCGAAAACATTTTGCAAAACAGCGAGTCTCTCGTAGCGAAGACACACAATGGCAACTGTTGTGAAGATTTCTTGTAGTTCAGGCATTGTCAAGTAGTCAATAGCTTTTTTGGTCTCCGTTTCTCCGTTTCTCCGTTTTTCTTCTTTGTAAATAGCTCCTGCTAAACTTTTTCCGAAGCTTTCACTTGCCTCAATCCGAAATAATCTCACAAACATTTTCAAAACCGCGTGCCATGTTGAACAAAACAAAGAAAACAAGTTTCCCGTGACGTCATCCATGTATCTGTACTCTAATAGATCATGGGCAATGACCAATCACAGCGCGCGTAGCATTCACATCATTGTATAATCTTCTTTAGAAGGAGCATTTGAGTTTTGTTGAAGCTTGTTTGCAGAGGAGTACTAAACTTTAACCTGTTAGACCACTAAGAGAAACATAAAATCAAACAAATCAACCTTTTGGAACCCCATGACTACCGGATATATTATGTAAACATTAATTTACATCATCAGTATGGAATTTCTGTCTGTGGGGTGTAAAGACAACCCTCCTGTCAAAAGGTCCCAGCGGCAAGGGGCAAGGAGCGATGGCTGTTTTTGCAGGCTAGTTCAAAGGCAATAATTTATAATTTTTCTTTTACAGTGTACTTAAAGGAGGCAGCGCGGCCGAGTGACCGCTCGTTGGATGCGCAGTTCGGGGGCAAGTCCCACTCTGGCCGGCAAGTCCTGCTCTGGCCACTTCCCGGATTTGTTCTCGGTCGTCCCGAGCCAAGTGCAAATCCTCTGCTACACTTGTAAATAGCCAGCTGGTTGCCTCCTGCCAGTTGGGGTTTTAATCCTGTTATGTTATATTTAATAAATTTGTTTCTAAGTATTTGAGTGGAGTGCCTGTAAACTAGCTGGATAAACTAAGTGCACTTTCCACTATAAACAAGCCATTTAACCTTTTTTTTTAACTTTAATAATAGAAAATATATGATATTATTATGTCTTTTTCTTTCACTTATCTAACTTAATAATCCTTTGGTCTGTTTGATATAATAGAAAGCCCAGTCAGAACTGGCTTATGATCTTCAGGCCTCTATAACAAAACAGAAGATTAAGGAAGAAGAGATGCAGATCAAAGTTGTGGAAAGGGCACAGCAGATTAATGTTCAAGAGCAGGTAATACCTTGTTGTTGTTGTGGTTCTTGTCATTGTACAAGAAGATGTGATTTTTGCCATTTACTAGTAATTTCTTCGTTGATGTTGAGTTCCAAAGTACATAAGGCAGTGTAATTGGCGATATCAGGAAAATGAACTAAACAGCCATGACACGGCCTCTTAAACTCAGCTTCATGCTTGCAAGACCTGACATGTTGCTTTTACTATAAAGGTGTGGGTGTAACTATCTACATGTAGTTGTATCATGGGCACATTCCCAGGGCTATCAATAAGGGCTGGTAGCGGTCCTTAGCCAGCGACTTTCATCTCCTGCTATCCTAACTGCTAACAAAAAATAAGCACCATTGAATTAGCTAATTTTATTATTAGTGTTGAATGACGTTGAACACATATTCAAGCAGGTTTAGATCTGTGAAACATTTGAACCGTGTGATGTCATGGAACGCCTGGGATATTTTGACTACATTGTTCCTAGTCGTTTGTGCATTGTGATGAAACAACATGGTGTCCGTGGTGGAAAATTCTTCTTGAAATCCCCTGGAAATGTCATTTCTGAGACTCTAAATTTCAAAATATTCCTAGATGCCTCAGCCCTTAAGAGCTTGTGCCTTTGGTGCGAGTTCTGCCTACTATTCATTATCAGCCTGCCACGTCAGCTCTTCATTGCAAAGCAGGCAGCTAAACCTGTTCAAAGAGAGTATGGATTTTAGAGAAGTCACTCTGTACCTGTAGTTACCTTGTTTGTTGTGTCAATATTGTAGGAAATTGCTCGTAAAGATCGTGAATTGGAAGCAACCATTAAACGACCAGCTGAAGCTGAAAAGTATAAAGTGGAAAAACTTGCTGAGGCCAACAGGTATGCAGTTAATGAAAGATGCTGTTCTTTGCCAGTGCCACAGGGTTTCACATTTGTTGATAAACTGGTACTGTAGTGTATGGGTATCATGCAATGTTATTTGCTAAAATAGGCCTTTTATCATGCTGACCATTCTTGAACAGATTATTAGTCTCAATTCAGTTCAGCTAGTTGTATTGAGTTGGACAAGTGTTGGGCTGTGTACCCCTGGCTTTAGAGCTAAGCTGTCAGTAATAAACCCACAGATTCTGAAATCAATTTACTTGTCTTTCCTTTCTAAGGAATCGTGTGATACTTGAAGCTGAGGCTGAAGCTGAAGCCATAAAGGTTAGTAGAGCTTAAGGAAAGAAAGATACTGTTATTAGTAATGTTGTTGAGAAAGATACAAAGAAATTCAAGCATGCAATGAGTGTGGGACATGATTTTACCCATTGACATCCAAGGTATACCTGCCAATATAAGTCCAGGGCATGAGATTTTTTTGTAAGTGTCCTAGGATTCTTCATAGAAGACCTGATCATATCCAGAGAGAAAGAGATCTAAAAAATGTACTCAAGTTTCCAAAATAGTGCATTCCAGAGTGCAAAAGTTCTCAAGAAAATAATCACGCCTTGACATCCAAAGGCAGAGATTTTGGAGAGAGTACAATCATTCACAGAGTGTGTTCTTTTCTTGTGTCAAGTTCATTTTTCTTTATGTATTTTTCAAAAAATGTGCCAGTTAATGTTGATTATTATAGCCAAATAATTTATTGTTGTAACTGGCAGGAGAAATTGGCCAGTAAACTTAATCATACACACGGCAAGGCTGTGGCCAAGATTTCAAGTTGCCAGNCTAACTTAATAATCCTTTGGTCTGTTTGATATAATAGAAAGCCCAGTCAGAACTGGCTTATGATCTTCAGGCCTCTATAACAAAACAGAAGATTAAGGAAGAAGAGATGCAGATCAAAGTTGTGGAAAGGGCGCAGCAGATTAATGTTCAAGAGCAGGTAATACCTTGTTGTTGTTGTGGTTCTTGTCATTGTACAAGAAGATGTGATTTTTGCCATTTACTAGTAATTTCTTCGTTAATGTTGAGTTCCAAAGTACATAAGGCAGTGTAATTGGCGATATCAGGAAAATGAACTAAACAGCCATGACACGGCCTCCTGCTCGCAAGACCTGACATGTTGCTTTTACTATAAAGGTATGGGTGTAACTATCTACATGTAGTTGTATCATGGGCACATTCCCAGGGCTATCAATAAGGGCTGGTAGCGGTCCTTAGCGAGCGACTTTCATCTCCTGCTATCCTAACTGCTAACAAAAAATAAGCACCATTGAATTAGCTAATTTTATTATTAGTGTTGAATGACGTTGAACACATATTCAAGCAGGTTTAGATCTGTGAAACATTTGAACCGTGTGATGTCATGGAACGCCTGGGATATTTTGACTACATTGTTCCTAGTCGTTTGTGCATTGTGATGAAACAACATGGTGTCCGTGGTGGAAAATTCTTCTTGAAATCCCCTGGAAATGTCATTTCTGAGACTCTAAATTTCAAAATATTCCTAGATGCCTCAGCCCTTAAGAGCTTGTGCCTTTGGTGCGAGTTCTGCCTACTATTCATTATCAGCCTGCCACGTCAGCTCTTCATTGCAAAGCAGGCAGCTAAACCTGTTCAAAGAGAGTATGGATTTTAGAGAAGTCACTCTGTACCTGTAGTTACCTTGTTTGTTGTGTCAATATTGTAGGAAATTGCTCGTAAAGATCGTGAATTGGAAGCAACCATTAAACGACCAGCTGAAGCTGAAAAGTATAAAGTGGAAAAACTTGCTGAGGCCAACAGGTATGCAGTTAATGAAAGATGCTGTTCTTTGCCAGTGCCACAGGGTTTCACATTTGTTGATAAACTGGTACTGTAGTGTATGGGTATCATGCAATGTTATTTGCTAAAATAGGCCTTTTATCATGCTGACCATTCTTGAACAGATTATTAGTCTCAATTCAGTTCAGCTAGTTGTATTGAGTTGGACAAGTGTTGGGCTGTGTACCCCTGGCTTTAGAGCTAAGCTGTCAGTAATAAACCCACAGATTCTGAAATCAATTTACTTGTCTTTCCTTTCTAAGGAATCGTGTGATACTTGAAGCTGAGGCTGAAGCTGAAGCCATAAAGGTTAGTAGAGCTTAAGGAAAGAAAGATACTGTTATTAGTAATGTTGTTGAGAAAGATACAAAGAAATTCAAGCATGCAATGAGTGTGGGACATGATTTTACCCATTGACATCCAAGGTATACCTGCCAATATAAGTCCAGGGCATGAGATTTTTTTGTAAGTGTCCTAGGATTCTTCATAGAAGACCTGATCATATCCAGAGAGAAAGAGATCTAAAAAATGTACTCAAGTTTCCAAAATAGTGCATTCCAGAGTGCAAAAGTTCTCAAGAAAATAATCACGCCTTGACATCCAAAGGCAGAGATTTTGGAGAGAGTACAATCATTCACAGAGTGTGTTCTTTTCTTGTGTCAAGTTCATTTTTCTTTATGTATTTTTCAAAAAATGTGCCAGTTAATGTTGATTATTATAGCCAAATAATTTATTGTTGTAACTGGCAGGAGAAATTGGCCAGTAAACTTAATCATACACACGGCAAGGCTGTGGCCAAGATTTCAAGTTGCCAGAAAAAAGTGGTAGGCAGGGAAAAAGAATAGCTAAGGATTTCTTAGTTCAATTTTTCCTTTGTTTCCTATGAAAGTAGCGAGGGTTCATGCTCACAGCAGCCAGGGAAATCCACGGCCCCAAGTCCTCAGTGACAGCCTTAAATAAAAAGCAAAGTTTTCAATCAGCAGACATGGGCCTTGTGCCAAGCATGAGAATTGGCAGGCACACCAAAGGGACTTGTACCGTTTGGACATTTTAACAGCACCATTGATCTGGTCTAATGGCAAGAATTGGGCCATTTCCCATTTTCATGTGCACCAATCCTGCTTGCTGCTAGCATCAACATTATGTGTACAGCATTTTAATACTGAATGGCAGTGATTTCCATTTTTGTTAACAGGTGAAAGGAGAAGCTGAAGCATTTGCCATAGAAGCCAAAGCTACAGCAGAAGCTGAGCAGATGGCAAAGAAGGCTGATGCATGGAAAGAATACAGAGAAGCTGCTGTTGTGGATATGGTGTTGGAGACCATGCCAAAGGTATATATATATACATATATATATATACCAGGCTTTTTCTACACAAGCCTGTTTATATTTGTCCTTAATACATGTACTTCGTAGTCACAAACTTGCACCTCATGTCCATGTGTAAAACAGTTTTGTAAAAAGTGTAGGGCTGAAAGAACACTGGGGACAGAAACTGAACTCATATCCCAAGCAGGTGTCTGTTGTAGGTAAAATTGATTTCAGGTTAAATCAGTATTCAACTCAGTTTGATTCAGAATTCCCTTTGTTTCCTAGCCCTAATCATTCATAGGAGACAAAGGAAATTCTGTTTTGACCTGAGAACAGATTTTACCTACAACATCTACATGTTTAATATGCCAGTAGTGCCTCTCAACTCATTTTGACTGTAATTTCACAGATTGCAGCTGAAGTTGCAGCTCCTATTTCCCAGTGTAAGAAGATTGTAATGGTGTCCAATGGCAAGTGCGACGTTGGTGCCAGTAAGATCACCTCAGAAATTCTGGAAATTGTGGCCAACCTGCCCAAATCAGTTGAAGCTTTAACCGGAATTGATATCAGCAAGGTGAGTGACATCAAGAGTAAAACCCTTTTCTGATTGATTTATGTCGACATGAACTGCACTTCTGATGATGGCATTTTTGGATGAAATTCTGTTGTAAAACGTACTAAGAATCAAAGGATCAGATTTTTCAATCCATGAACTAGTTTTGACGTTGTTTATTATCTCTTGAATAGACCTTATTCACAATACCCGCTTTCTTTGTATGCGCGTAAAGACTGGTGTCACGTGGTTTCTCATGGGGCAAGCAAGTGATAAAATAATTCTGCTGGTACAAGAAATCACTGTCGACTTTGTTTATTCTAGACAACAGTTAAATGAAAACCTTTTTACTTAAAAGAGAATAATGGCGCATTATAGGTGTAAGTGATCATAAATATTGTTACTCTTTTGGATGCAGTAACGACCTTTGATGCTCCCAGCAATAATGCAGTAATGCAGTAAAACCTGAACTTTACACTTGTTTTGATAGAATAAACAAACTCTACCCAGATTGCTCGTGTTGGCAAATTTATCACCTTTTTACCCCTGAAATACCATGTGACATTTCCTTTATCAGGGTTCGCACAGTCTTCAAAAGTCCTTAAATTTTAGGGGAAGTCCTTGAAAAGTCCTTGAATCCCATTTTTCCTTAAAAGTCCTTAAATTTCTGTGCAAGTCCTTGAAAAGTTCTTGAATTTTCTTCAACTTTGAATTTAGTGGCATGGAAAGTGTTTTTTGATGATGTTTGGTTGTCCAAGACAGAATATGAATCACAACTCAGAGCATTTAAAGGTTATTTATTCAAAGTGCTCAATGTTTTATGCAATAATTAACTATCAATTTAAGAGAAGTAAACTGAAAAATGTAGAGACGTTGGTGAAGAAAACAGTTCAAGCCTTAGAGCCTTAAAAGAATAGACTGGAAATGTGCATTTTTGTACAGTCCGTGAAATTATATTCCTAGTAGGTGGTCCTTGAAAATCTAATGTGGTCCTTGAAAAGTCCTCGAAAAGTCCTTGCAAAATGGTTGGAATTTTTTGTATGAACCCTGTTTATCCCGTCAATCCTAAAGCGCGTGCGAAGAAGGCGGGTATCGTGAGCAAGGTCTATTAACGTCACGAAGAATGAAGAAAATTATGGTTTTGACTTGTGTTTTCTGGTGAAAATGAAATAATCAGCAGGACAGGACAGGATTCGAACCTATGACCTCCCAAACACCAGGCGGGCGCTCTATCCTCTGTTACGAAGAACTCATGGAGCGCGAGGCCATATACTAGGTTCATATTTTACATGCGTCCTGCATACTGCTAGGATCAGCAATGTCGAGATCGTACTGTATGATGAAAGAATGAAAGGTGATGAATTTTTCTCTGTTTTCTTATTGTTGTTGTTGTTTTTTTGTAGGCAATGAGGCTGTCAAACCGTGTGTAACCTTCATGGCCAAGAAGAATTGTCAATAATTTCTTGCAAGAAAATAACATTTTCCTCTCAGTGGATTTTATAACCCGTTGCTCATGCTCTATGTAATAGGCAAGATTTACACGATAGTATCATTTTACTATTGCAGGACAGAATGTCATTCATTACAATTTCCTTTCCCAAATCGTATGTAGTAATCCTGCTGGATTTTAAACAGCGATACAATATGCACAAGAAAACAAAGTTGTGAAGCATTCTGGTAGCTGCTGTAGTAAACTGACACCGTCATAAAAAATTCCGGTGCATGGATGTTAAATGCTGGTATAACCATTTTGTTTTATGTCTTAAGTGACTCTTTTGTAGAAGTACACTAACATGATACGTTTTGCATCAAATGGAAAGGTCCAGGAAAAAAATCCGAGCCGCAGATGGGACTCGGTTTCTTCCCTTAGTTTCCATTTGGTACAACAACGTATTATGTTGTCTTATGTACTGCTGGTTAAAAAATTAAGTGTTTCATATGTTAAGTTTAGTGTAGCAACAATTTGCAATTTAAAATACTGTACTGAAAGCTATTTAACAATTACCCCGTGAAATCGTTTGCGTAGTAGTTAGACTGTACAGACTGAACAGAACTGTGGAATCATTTCCTTTAAACCCAGAGACTGAGCAGAGTTGGATGCTCAAACAGAATTTCAGGCAAAAGCGTTGTTGTGGATGGTGGCATCTGAAGAGACACCAAACACCACGCTCAGCGTATACTTGGTACACCACAATCACTAACCAAGGTCCCCAGGTACTGTCACCCGTGTGGTAGATGTTCATGGTGTTGGAAGAGAGGAGATGAGTCAGGCGAGAATGCAAAGGACATGAAATAGACCATTTACGAGTTCCCCGCGCCTCTGTATCAAAACGAGGTTAAGTGCTCAGCCTTTGATATGGAAATGATTCTTCATTCTCATGCAAATAAAACTCATTTTCAAGTGAAATGTTGCGCACTTGGCCTCATTTTGAAAGAGAGGGTTTTTCGATCTCGAAAGTGGCCCATTCGCCACTTTAAAAACTTGAAGGAAACTGGGCGAGTTAACATTGCAAAGACTTCTGGGACAGTTACTAGGGACAGTGAAAAAATTGGCCAGTAGCTGACCGGCGCATCCCCAGTAACGATACCACAAACAAGATTACCAAACACATTTCATCTCCATTTCCCTTTTCGTTTTTAAAGTGGCGAATGTGCCGCTTCTCACAGAAGGAATTAATTTTACACCCTGGTCAACATTCTCACTGTAGTTTTGTCCAATGCTGATTTTGACTGTTTGACACTTCCGTCACTAAATTGTGGTGAGATGTGCGAAGTTAAAACCACATTAGCACAGCATTTATATTGTTCTCAAAATGTTAAAGTTGTTTGACCAACTCTCCAATAAATCTTGTGCCCAAAGTCTTCATTGCCCTTGTCAAGCGGTACGGACATCAGTGATCGGTTTAGCTAACCAACACGATTGCAGTCTCTGAGAACAAGATTGCCTGCTCTGGTAACCTCTTTGTACTTGTACAAGCTTGTAACTAATTTTCTTTTTTATTTTTCATTAGTAATTTCTATTCATTTTAAGTCAAACAGGATCTTGTGTAGTTGTCAGCAAAAAGCCATTGTCAAATGTGCTGGTCACAGCTAATCGAACTCTTATCGAACCTATCATAACATTTATTTGTTGCGAGCAACACGGCTATGGCAAACTATGATAATCTCAATTGTTACATTTCATCGCCCTTCTTTGCTACATACACGTTTGAAAGAGCTCTCAATTTGGTAGTAATTGGCTGTATACACGTTAGTGGACGTCGTTGTTGTTAAACTTTACCTCTAATATTATTTATAGTGGTAAGAAATGTCAACGCCGGGCGATGTCAAACTTAAAAGTCAAGATAATCTATATAATTATTATTAGTAGTGGTGTTAGCGGCTTTGATATATCATTGTAAGACTATAAATACCGAATACTGCGACTTCTGTTGAAATAAAGTGCTTAGAAAAATAGGTTTGTTTGTTTGTTGAAACAGTCAATTAGTTTCAAAGCGTTATTGAGTCATAATAGTTTTACTTTTAAGAAATGGTCTGGTAATTGACCTATGGGGAAATTTATTCAATTGATATGATAAGCGCTAGTTACCGATAGTATTTTTGGAATCAAAACTGGCGAAAATTTATTTGGATAGGATTGGTGCGTGATAAAACACAGGAAGTAAGTCTCTTTTTTTCGGGCGCATGGAGAAGTAAAATGACCCCAAGCTCTTGGGATTTTGGGAAAAGAATGGCCAACTCGGTCCATGAGTCGAATGAGGCTGAACTATTTGACCACGCTTTTTTAGTACACACAGACCGCTGTGACACAATGGCTATGAACTATTAGTACTGAAAACAAAATCCTCTCGCATTTCACTCTAATGAAAGGTTCTTACTTAGCCAGGATTTTTTTTTTGGGGGGGGGGGGGGGGGGGGGGGGGTGCGCTCCCGCGGGGGGGGGGACCAAACAAGCCCAGAGGCGAAAGCCCCCGCCCGGGGGGGGGGGGGGGGGGGGAACAGGGGCGTCCACGCCCGACACACGCCCAAAGTACGGACGGTTTGAAAAACATAGGGTGTTATTTCTCAAACCTTTAATCTTCACACGAGATATGT